TTTTGCACAATTTCTACAATTTCAAAAAAAAGTCAACTCAACAAAAATAAAACTTTTGAGTGCAAAAGCATTAAAAAATCAAAAAGTTACATAATTCTATAGCTTCAGATTCAAACTATCAGAAAAGTAAAAGTTTGCCATAAAAAAGTTCCTCAACAACATCGCACATAACCTCATCATCATGTTAAACATATTATTTTTATTCTCTCATCCATTTGTGCTTACAACAGCATTCAATGTGAGCTTCAATGTCTAGAATTTAATTTCCTGTTTACCATCTCAGCCATTACTAATTTTCAATTCCCATCGTAGTACTGTCTACCTTTATAATATTTAATATTTGTATATCCTGAGCCTCTCCTACAACGCGATACCCTTAACATGACTTTTTACAATCTCTGATATAATATTTAATAATATTTTTTTTTGTTTTTAATTTCTCAATAGATAAATGTGTGTGCAATAATCAATAAGTGTAGCAATGAGATCAAACTTTTGTACAAAAATAGCTTTCTGCATTCAAAAAAATTTATTTTTCATTTCCATTTTTGGATTTTCTTCATTTTTTGCGTTGCTTGAAATCTCACAACGATTATAATGCAGCCATATGGAAATATTGGAGAACTTTCAAGACGATTAAGGAAATAAAACGATATGGTTCCAAGATATCGCCTCATTTCTCGACGAAAATTCATTCAATATCTCCTCTTAATCATTATTCAACGTGTGCTAAGCTTACGAAACTTGAGTGAAAATCCAAAATAAGCAATCTCTTGGCATGCATTCTTGGAGGCCATTCATCGAGTAAAATTTATTTTTTTATGTACTTTATGAATCTTCAATTCACTGTTTTTTTGTTGTTGTATATATTTATTTATAATATATTTTCTATCTAAGAATAAATTTCATATTTTATGTAAATTATTTTTATCTCTATTTTTGATGGAGATAACAAAAAAAATGGAGGAAAATTATTCGTTATGATTTGTGGAGCAACATATGGCTTTGATGTGGAATTCAGATCGTGGATTTATTTTTGGGGTTAATATTGTGCTGATGGAATGTGGTAAGCTTACAGTAGCTCACAACATGTAAGGTTTATAAAAATCTAAATTGAAATTAGTTTGAACTTAACGTTTCCTCAACCCCTGGCTACCTTCCTTGGATACACGCTTGATCTGATCTTTTGACTTTATTATTGATTAGAGCCAGTGATGGTCAACCCATGTACCGCAAAGTCTCACGAACCAAGTGCCGTGTGCAAACGTGGCTTACCACCAAGATGTGCCGTTTCATGAAAAAAGATTGTCCACAACTGGATTAGACTATTAAATAGTATTACTGTCTGATTAGGTCACAGCCAACTTGACCTACAAAATATATTATCCTCAGCTACATCCACAATCTAATATTCCACAATATCAAATGCACCCCACATGTCGATGAGTTATCAAAATCGATAAAAAAATATCACCTCATCAGCGACTTTATCGATAAAAACAGGAGGTTGATATATTTACAAAAATCATTGAAGAACATCATCGGATGAATAAGTTAAAGGAAATAAAGAAGCAAAGATTATGAATAATGTGTGTTATGATAATGCGCATTTCGCGCTTCATTCTCGTGGATTAAAATTCACATAAAAGAAAAAAAGGTATGAAAATGAAAATAACTGAAATGAGCAGCTTGACGTGTCAGATGTTGTTATTTTTAGAAATCTCAAATGCCTAAAAATAATGGTGTAAAGCCTTTTGTGCCTTCCCGTATTGCTATTTATGTTTTGTGAGCTTTTTTTATATTTTAGTCAAGATTTAATCTTGTTTTAATTCTAATTAGGTTCGCATTAAGGATGTATGGAAGGTGATAGAGTTACGTCATAGGGGAGTGGGATGGAGTGCTTAACTTTCAACTATAGACACTCCTAAAAGATTCACACTACTTGCATCAAAAAGTTAAAGAGGTCAAATCATTTTTGAACCCTCAACTTTCACTAAACTAGCCTCAAACTACACACACGAGTTTCATTCATTTCCTCATACATGTTGTGCTTAATGCTCTCATTCCCCACAAAAACTATAAAACAACATTTTTTTCCCCTCCATCCTTTGTTCTTTTTGTTTCATTTTCGTTTGACGTCACAATATCGTGCTTATGAAATATAAATGGCTCTGAATTGAGAAAGAAAGTAGAAAAATTATTAAACATGACATAGAAATGAATGGTCTGGTTCTGCTTGCTGTTGAACTATGAATACGTGTGTATATGAAAATAATTTTTTAGCTTGAGGAAATTAGAAAAGGATATTTCATCGAATATATCACTTTTAAGGTGTTTGGTTGCCTTTCAATGACTAAGTTCGGGTGAATTATTAATTATTTGAAGCCTTTAGTGAGGCTAAATTGGTGCCGGTTTCGACAATTATCCATTATATCGATGTCAATTTATAAAAATAGATTTTCATGCACGTCGAGTTGTGTATACAAAATAAAATATTGAGGGAGTCTTGAAACGTGAGATATCTCACGTCCCTTTTTTTGTGTCCATTGTGAAATTTTAATAAGGAAAAAAGTTTCTTAGTGCCCGAGTTGGAAATGCTTGTCACTTGACAAGGCGGGTAGGTATCTTAAAATAGAAACTAGCTTCTTTGTCGGTCGATAAAACTGGGGTTTGAAATGTCTTAGAATGCTTCATCCACAGCTCGGTCTACCGCGACTCGAAAATAGCCCATTGACGTCAGCAAAAAGAAGGAAAAATTATTTCTTTTTTAAATTTAAAGCAATTAGTTGATACAAAAAATAGAACAAACAGAAATTATTCATTTGGTGAGCTCACGCGATCATAGAATCTGAACTTTAACAATATATTTATGATAATGATAAAAAAGCGCACACAAGTGACGGGTTTGAATATCCTCGTATGACCGCATGTGGATGATGCCTCATTTGGTTTGAGTAGAAATGCCATAAATTAATTAACTTAATTATGCAAGCATATCGAGTGGTATTGAAGCTTTTTGGATGGTTTTGTGATGAGCAATTTTGGATTGTAAATGTGAATTAAAATTGGTTGTGCATTATTTGAGATTTTTAACATCTTGACACTTTTTGGTGGTGATTTCAAGCTGATAAAAATTAATTATTATTTTTGATATTTATTTTAAAAATTCAAATTTCAAAAAATCGGTTAAAATTTTGAAATTGAAAAAATTGTTCCAAATTTAAATTTAAATAAACCAAAAAATCATATTTCAGTATTTGTGAATTTTGAAATCCAAGAAAATTGAATTTTATTAAAATAAAAATTGAACAACATTCAACCTGATTTATAATTAAAAGTTCATTAAGTTTTTCCAATGAAGGAAACTTAATCAACATAAAATTGAATTAAAATACCACACAAAATTCAAGTGAGCAAATAAAGCAGAGCTCGATAGGAAATTTTCTAATTAACTCATAACAATGTTGGAAAATAAAATTATGTTTTTTAATTAGATGCAGTCCATCATTCTCTTGGTTATTTTATAAAAAGTATCATTTTCTATTATTTTAATTTTATGCATAAAGCATCAGGTTAAGTTATTCAGAAATTGATGCTGCTGTGAATTTGCACAGAAATTAAACAAATATTTTAATTTTATTCTCTCTCCTGTTACTTGTTTTTGTGTATTTTTTTAATTATATTTATTTTTTTTCATGTTTCTTTAATTAGACGAAATTAGAATGAGAAAAGTTTAAAAGATGTGCGAATACTTTGCTCAATATTTGAGCTTTTCTCGCTTTTTGAATTTGTGAGAGTTTTGAGACGCATGACTTCAACTGTTTAGTATTATATTTACATGGAGACTATAAATTTCAATTTTGTCAGGGGGTGGTAACTTTTGGATTTTCTGGGATTATTTTTTTGAATAAAATTTTAACTTCTCAAACTTAATTCTTGAAATAGTAATAGAAAATGTAAATTTTGATTTTTTTAAAATTTTAAAAATCAAATGAAGTTTCAAAAATATTATAAAAAATTGAATTTTTTTTAAATCTAATTTCACTACAAAAAAATAAAATATTTCAATATAATCCAAAAACCCACTCCCCTGACTTTTAAGGTAATTAATTATTGTTTATGTTAATTAATTTTTTTCTTCATTTATATCTAAAATAATTTTTTATCTCTTTGTATTTCACTTAAATATTTACATTATAAATTCATAAATCATGCAGAGACGTGCACATTCACCTCATTATCATCATGTGTGAATCACATATGCATTTATCTCCCTCAGTGATTTTTTGAAATTCATCATGATTTCAACGTTATTTTTTTCTAGCTGCCGTGGAAGGGTTTTTTGCATTTATGCATTTTATAGTTGCATTGATTAAGTTTTGTATTTTTCAACTTTTTTTCAATTTTTAAATTTACACTTAAATTCTTTTAAAATTTAATTTAATTATTATTTAAAGCAATGATTTTTTCATTCTTTAGTTGATATATAAAAAAATATAATATATTTATATATATTTATTATTATCATTAAATGTTACTTTTTAATTCAATTTTAGCTAATTGTTTGATTTTTAATATTTTCATATGGAATCATTAATTTGAATTTACTTTTTTGTAAGATTGAAAAAATAAAAATTTTGTGATGAAATAATTCAATTTTAAATTCGTTAATTTAAATTTTTTGAAGGATGATTTTTTTGATAAGGAAGCTGCCAATTTCAAAATCAAAATTTCAAATTATAGAATTTTTCAAAATATAAATACATTTTTAAGCTTCATTAATATTTCAAAAAATTCAAATCTATCTAATAATTATTTTACAGTTTTTGATAGCTAATAAATTTTAATTTTGAAATTGAATTTTAAACTTAATTTAAATTATGTTCATTATTTTTATATTTTTCAGTAGAAAACTATGTTTTATTCAACTAATTTTGAAGCAATATTTCATAATAAAATTTTCAAATAATTATTTTGAATTTTTTAAGAAGTTTTTAAAAATATATTTTTAAATTCCAATTTGAAAATTATCAAAAATTCATTAAATCGTTCACATAGTTAATAGTTGCATTATTTCTTAGCAAACTTAAGGCCAATAAAATAATCAAAAAAAATTCATAAGAAAATGAAAAAATTGCAGCAGCATGAACACAAATGTGCAGCATAATTGAAAAGAAAACGAATTATTCATTTTTGTATTTCTTATCATCATCAAAAGTCAGTCTTAAATGTTATTAATTACTCCGAAAAATCAATTAAGTGTAAGCGATTAAATGTAAGTTTATTAATATTTACTTAGATGTTCGCTTCAAGCCGTTAAGCTGTTGTGCAAGAGCTTCTTCATTTGTCACGAAACGCTTTCGAATCTTTGATGTTGGAAGTTGATTGTCTGACAACTGTAAATAAATGTACAAGAATAAGAAGTGATATTAATTACTATATTCATTCATAATGGTTGGGGTGGCTGTAAAGGATGAGGAAATTTTTCAGCTTGGTCCGTGAAAAATTGGTTAATGAAGCTTTGAATATGAAACATTTTTTTTTCATATTGCAGTTTGAGTTGAGTTCCAAAACTCTTGAGATTCCCCAAAAACTAAAACATTCCAAATTAAAGTTTTTATTATTTTTAACTGCGCCATAAAATCCTTAAAAATTACATTTTATTCTCATCCTATTTGGATGCCTTCAAACAAAATAAAAATAAATTTGTTTCTTTTTATTTACTTGACTTTATGACCATTATGTTCATCATTAATTTCATTTTTTATTACAATATACATTGAAATGGTATTTTTATGTAGGGTTACCATCTAGTTTTCATGAAAATACAGGACTTTTGGTAAATTTTTTCGAAAAATACAGGACATAGAGTAAAATTCGAAAATTAACGGAAATTTTCGTGAAAAAAATACAGGACCTGGAACAAAGTTTTCAAATTTATACAGGACAGGGTTTTGAAATACAGGACTGTCCGTTGTAAAACTACGCAGATGGTCACCCTATTTTTATGTCCAAATTTCCATAGAAAGAGCACCAGGCATGTTCGCATCTAGCTTTCTTTTTACTGAAATTCTTTCATCATTGTTTTACTGAAATTCTTTCATCATTGTTGGAGTTGCTAGGGGTGTGAACTTGATCAGTTTAAGGGTGCGGAACTAATCAAAATTGATCAGAAACTATCGAAATTGAACAAAATCTAATTTATCAGTTCCTTACCCTTGGATCAGTTAAGGTTCAAATTTTTCAATGTTTTTGAACTTTTTAACATTTAAGATTTTTAATTATTTAAACTTTCAAAATTTTCAAAATATTTCCACACCCAGAAAATTATTTTCTTATTCTACAAAACAATCCTCAATTGTTGTTTCCGTACCGACCATAAAGAAAGACGCGTAAGATGCTTAAAAGGTTAAAGGTTAGACAAATAAAATTCCATCACATTCAGAAAATATTTTCTATGTACATGTATGTGAAATATCTTTGCACCAAATGTGCTCTTTGTGCCTTGAATAAAATGTTTTTCTTCTTCATTATTTCTGAGGTCTATTGTGTGTGGGATGGACATGCTTGGTAATATTTTATTCTCTTTTTAAGCAAATGTTATTGAAATTTGTTTTTAAGGAGCGCATTTTTGGTTTTCAAATGCTTCAAGCAAATTATTTTATGAATAAAACTTTTCAATTTTCCCCTAAAACAACTTTAACATTATCTCAAAGAGTGTAGGTGGCCTGTAGTGGCTCTCATTCAAAAGTGCTCATCCGTTTGAGCTATTTTATCTCCATAATAGAACTTTTGACCTTTCACATAAGATAGAATGATGATGATAAAGTCATTTTCCATGTACCATGAAGGCGTTATATGACATTTCGAAAATTGTTATCGTAGATAGAAATATTTTATTTAAAATAAATAATATGAGAGGAAAAGTTTCTCAATTTGTGCAAACACACAAGTATTATTGAAGCTTATTTTGTCATGTTTTGTGCGTTATTGGAGCTTGAATGAGAGTCAAGGTAATTTCTGTATCTAGGATGGTTGTTTCGGAAGGTTTTTAAATGGAAGAAGGCACTTAGTGAGTAGATGGAAGGTCAATCTTGTCTAGTGTAAAGCTAGTAGTGGCTAAGGATAAGCCTAAAGTATGTTTAAGGATGTTATTGAAAATTATGATCCACACGAGGGTGTTATTGAATGATGAAGTTCATTTAGAACAGCAAGGGTCAAGCTATAGACTCAAAATCTTAAATAAATCTTTTCTAAGCTCCAACTCTGTAAGTCAACCTTAGAAACTTCCTGTCATCCTCCTATCTTATATACATTTCAACTGAGTGTATTCTTGCAAAAACTTGAATAAAAGAAAGCAGGCACGTTCACCTTCAAACTTCCAGAAACTTTAACAATTTAAATTCATCATAAATAATTCAAATTCTTCAAGAAAAAGCCGCGCATAAAATTCACCTTCAAAGCTATTCATTCATAACCTACATTTTATACAATTTCCACATCAAAATTTTAAGCAATCTTTTAAGGATGGATACGACAATCTACAAGTCGTACGCAATAAAAACTTTTTTATTCCCATGACAATGCCTGATTTGCTAAAAGGTCTTCAGTACACATACAAAAAAAAAGTTTTAACTTCCTTTTTAAAATTCAATAAACCTGATACAAACAATTCGATGGTTTCGACCGTTACAGTTTCCAAGAAAACTTGTGAAAATATCTTACTTGTCTGTCTGCCATACAAAATTCGAAGTTTCATGCCCTGCAGTTCGAAACTTTCGAAAATTAAGAAAAAATTAAAACTTAAATTAAGAAAGATTTATAAGAAATTTACATGAACATATTATGGAGTCATTTAATGATAAGCATAATATAGCTAAATCTTATTCAAAACGATCAAAAACTCCAATAAAATCAACAAAATTGTAACGGTTTTTTTCAAATTTAAACTTTTCGAACGTGCATATTATAACTCCCCTAGACTTTCGATAAGTCTGTCGAACATGAATTGTTCGTATCAGCAATAAACAAGCTGCTTTAAAAGTAATTTTTCAGCTAGTAAATTTTATATCTCGCGAGGACAAATTGACAAAAAAGAAGCATGTTAACACAAAGTATGAAGATGTAAATCCACAAGAAACATCCTTTTGCTTCTTTCTTGTGTAATAAACATCTGCCTCTTATATGTGTGTGCTTCTTGTGCTTCTTGTAATACACATAGCAACATTTCCTCAGGAAAATAGAAAAGAAAAGAAAGAAAAATATTTCTGAAATCGATGGAAATGATTATTTTGAGCAAACAACAAGGCGCCTATTTTATTGTGTGTCTCTCTATGGATATATTTCTGTTTCTCGCATCAATAAGCAGACAGCAATTCAAGAAAGAAAGTGAAGCGGGGGGCACAAGAGGGAGGATTTGGGGACAAAATTACGTCTCGCAGTATTTTAATATTTAAATTTTTATGGATTATGAAGGAATATGAGTGATAGATTGAGGGCAAGAACTGATTTTTGTGTAACTTGTATTGATGTTTTTGTTAATTAACAAGAGAATTTAATGACAATTTTGAATGCTTTTTGCTTTGTGTGATTGTAAATTTTTTGTGAAAAATTAAATAAATGTTTGGATTAATTGGATTGTGACGTCAGTGGAACCCTAGCTGTGCTGGAATTTTTACTATTCGAGATTTTAGATGGGAAGGGGGATTGTTTGACTTCCAACCAAACTCCTTAAACTCCTTGACAACTCTTAAAAAATAGAGCATCTTATAAGTTATTCAGAATCACAAAAGCAGTCATGACATGGTTGATTATCTGAACTTCCCCCCCTCCCCCTTCCTGTCCCTATCTCTCTCGAATCACAAGAAAAATCAACAAACAAGCTATAAACCCCCACAAAAATAATTTTTTTTCTTCCTCCTTCTCTCTTATGTCACTTTGCTAGTTTTATTCTGCCGCTACTACACAAGAAGAAGCAAAAGAATATGAAAAACTATGCGTGATAAAAATAGAAAGTCTTTTTTGTATATTGTGAATGGAAATCAAGTGAGAGAGACGACAGCAAAAAAATATATATTTACGATACTTGGATGAAGATAAGTTGATGTGGGGCATCTGAAGGTGGTAGGGGGTGGTTTTTGGATTGGATGATGGGACATGAAGATTTAGCGAGCAGCTTGAGATTTGTTAAATTTTAAAGTTTAAATGTTTTTAATATTTTTTATAGTTTTTTTATTCTTTTTTTTTGAAAGTTTTGAAATTTTTTGATTTTTTTTTTGAAAAATTTTAATTTTTTAATTTTTTTGAACGTTTTGAATTTTTGAACTTTTTTTCAAAAATTTTAATTTTTTTTGTTTTTTGAACTTTTTGATTTTTTAAAAAAAAATCTAAAATATTTATAAATTTTAAAAAGTTAAAAAAATCATCAAAAATCAAAAATAATTCAAAAATCGACTTAATCCCAAAGCTAGTCACAATCCCTGTCAAATTCTCCATAATCCCCCATCCCTGCTTCCTTATAGCCTTAACAATATTATCCATAATAAATTCAATGTAGCTGTTATGCTGTGTCGATATTTATGCAAAGAAAGCTTTATCATTGTTGATTCATGCTATTTTGTATGGAAAAGAGGCAGCAGCAGTAGCAACTGCTCCCCATGCTCTCCTTCCTATTCATTATTGTTATTATTTTTATTGTTCTTGCTGTGCATTTGAAAATAGTTTCTAAAAATAAACTTTTTTTTTGTTTTCCATTCTTTATGTCTTGTTGCTGTATGGAATAAAGAATGAGGATAAGTTCATATGGAACGAGCTTTTTAAAGCTCAGTTAAGCTCTTTGATTTTTTTATTGGATTATTGCAGCTGCATTTCTATTTTTAAATCCTGTCTTTATTGTTTCTAGAACTTGCTGTGTTTCTATTTTAATAATGAATAATTTAAATGCAACAGAAAACTTTGCTCTTATTAAATGCATAGCTTCATGTCATGCAATAAATTTTACTTCCATGTTACAGTTTTCAAGCATTAACATAAGCGTCACTAAAGACGCACACAGCTTATCATCATCAATCATTATAAATTCATAATCGCTTTGGGAAAAATATCGCGTTTTTTCAAATATTTTTTTGTTTTACTATTTTTTTTTGTCATAGTCAGTTGACAAACATTCGTAGCTGAATGACGTAATTTTTTTTTAATTTTTATTTTTGAAGATTGTCACATAGCAACGTATTTATATAGAAAGCATGAAGTAAATCTGTTTTTCACATTATGAAGTGCTTGAAAAGTTTGACGTACATAGAGTTGGAGAGCTTTTTGAAATTTATGTAGCATTTTACTGCTGCATGACAAGTTGATGTCAAGTTTGATATTGAAAAAGCTAGTCAACAGATTTTTTTTTTTTTTTGGATGTGGAAATTTCAATTATTTTTTATGGCTGAAGTTCAAGGTAGTTGGAAATGATTTTTTAACGGAAATATTTGAAATTTGTCATTCTGTTATTTGAATTTTTTTCGACCGTTAAATTTGATCAAAATAAAATTGTCCATAAAAGATACCCAAATCTTTAATAGATCAAGATATCCAACACAACACAATATGCAACCTTGATAACACAAAAAAAAAACTGCGCAATTTTATCAGTAAATGACCTTTTCAACTCCTTTTTTTCCCCTATCATCTAATAATACAATTCTCATTATTATTGTATGGCGCAGTTCCTCTTTTGTTTGTTTGCTTATCAAATTGTTCTTGGTCTTACTCGTTCCATAGCAACTCTTATTTCTTTGTTATTACTTTTTTTCTCAAAAACAATTTTCTAAGCTTTTATTTTTAGATCTGAAAAATTTCCTTCCTTTGTTCAATATTTTGAGCTTTACTCAATGTCAATTAGATATCAACATGCGAATCTTCATTAATAATGCATGAGGATGTAAGTATGGGGCCGTTCACTTATGACGTACAGGGGCAGCAATAAAAGAACAATAGAAATTCCTGAATATCAATTTTTTTTTGAAAAATGACCGTTAAATTTGGACGTCATAGATGAACGACCCCTAAGATTAGATGGAAATACTCACATGACTAAGACTCTGCTCCATATCAATTATTTGCTTGATTGTTTTATAAATTGGTGCTGCCTGCTCAGATGATGCCTGCTTCTCATCAATATTTGTGCCTAATGACTTCATGATTGACTCGGTAAATGGTCGTCGTACGGGTGTTGCTGGACGTGGAAGAACAACTTCTTTTTGTCCTTTATGTAATTTTCCAAGTAATTTTGAATTGTCTGTCGATGCCTTAATCGTCGTTGTTGTTGATACTGATGATGATACAGGCTTCGATGTTGTCACAGTTGCCATTTTCGATGTCACTTTTGTTAATTTTGATTGTTTGTCAATCGTTTGTGTTTGTTTGCCGTCGGCAAAATCTTTCTTCGGTTGAATGCTGCGCTTTTGACCTCCCCAATTGATCCACTCGTCATCGTAATTATCTGGTTCCATTACATCCTCATCCTCATTCTCTGGTGGCATGTCTTGTTGCCAATCTTGATTGCTATAAATTTGTTGCTTTGGCATCTCATAACTTCGTGCGATGTTCATACTTTTACGATTTTGTTTTAATTCTTTTAATTCCTTAACCATTTCATCATCATAATCAAGTGGACGTTGTTGATATTGTGGTTGCGGCTGCTGTTGTGGTGGCATATAATTTTCATATGTATTTGGATCGAGAAGAATTGCAGTCTGATCGTACCAATCTGTTGGCTGTTCAATCATCTCATAATCATCAAATTCACTATTTGGTTTGAGATTATAGAGCTCCTGTATTTGTTGCAATTGTTGTGTTCTTCCTTGCAAGCTATCTAATTGTTTATTATATAAAGCTAAGTTTTGCATAAATGCAGCATTATTGCGTGCTCTCTCATTCTCTTCAAGTATCTCCTCATGCAAATAGTCAAGAGGATTTGTTGTTTCTAATCGATCATCCTCTGTCATGTAACTTGGACGAGCGAAATAGTATGGCTTTGGATTATAGTCTCCATGATAGGTTGGAATGCCATAAAGTTGCTCTTGATATTGATCACGTTGTTGTGGATAATAGAAATAACTAGGATTTGATCTATAATTATAATCATCAGCAGTACGCTGTGGCTGTTGTTGTTGTTGTTGTTGTTGCTGCTGCTGTGTGGGCTGTTGCTGCTGTGACTGTTGCTGCATATATGGTACAGATAAATATTGCATTGGCTGTGGCTGTAAATAGCTTGTACTTGCTCGATTATCGTAATACTGTGGCGTTAGTTGTTGTGGATACATTGGCACCATTGGCGCAAGCATACTATTCGAACGACGTTTTGCATTGCCATAGATCGAATATGATTGTGCTAGGCCACATGTCACAACAATAATATTAATGACAATTATAAGCTTCATTCTGTTTCGTTTCTTATTAATCCACTTCTATTTACACATACAACAAAATTATTTTTTTATTTATAAAATCTTTTTCCAGCTTAAGCTTTCCTTCCTATTTTTTTGTTGGAACTGCTCTGCGAGTATATTTGTATCGTCGCAAATGAAAATGAAAAAAAAATTTCACTGCTGATAATTCCCTCACGCTTCACTTCACCTGTTGCTCCTTGAATTTTTTTATTTTTATTTCAGATGGATTTGTAGTATGCAGGCAGCCGATGGAAAATGGAAATGAAAAAAGAGAAATATTTATTTTATTTAATGAAGGAAATAGAGGTGATTGTATGAATAGCTTTGAAATGAGAGCTTTTTGAATGATTTGAATATGAGCTTTGATGTTGATTGTTGAGGAACTCGTTGATTGGATGTGTTGAAAAGGACGCTAGAGTTCCAAGTTGGCAGAAGGTTTCTAAGGATAGATCTGTCTTCAGACGATCTCTAAGCACGGGAATGAGCCCACGTGCACACTAAGAAATAAGTAAAGCAGTAATCCCTCAATTTCTGTCAAGGTCCCACCTCATTCTAAGCTTAAGACCCCCTCCCCATCTTCCTAAGTTTTTGATATCAGACTTCTCACGTCCTTAACAGAAATGAGCCCCCACACAATTATTACGACTTCCTTTTTTATCGTGAGAATATTCACAAACGTGATTTAAAAATAGTTTTATTTATTGATAAATATTTCAATAATTTATTCATATATTACTTTGTCGTGGCCTTCAAGGCGTTCCTTTTTGATCAAAATTTTATGAAATTTTTTTTGTCTGTATGTTTTTTTTATTGCTCCATTTATGAGATTCTGACGTATGTACTTGACAAAGACTTTTTTCTGTAACATTAGTGGGAAATTTTTCAAGGATTTTCTTTTGAGGGATTTTGAGGTTGTTGCTTTATTAAAATTAAGAATTAATTTTGAGAATTCTTTGGAAGATATTTTTGGAATTTTCGGGTAAATGATTAATGAAATTGAAGATTTTTAATGATTTAGAGTTGCAAACCTTGATTTTACCATTGGAAGCTTTCAGTTTAATCATTTAAAGCGCTCAGTTTGATGCTCCTAGCACTCAAAGGCATAGATTTAATGGAACTTAAGATACTAATGCCTTTCTATGAATCTCAAAGACAGTATTGCTCCATTCAAGTCCACCGACGGCTTAGAAAACTCCCCAAAAAATCCAATTTTCTATCGAAATAAAATTCCAAAAACATGCAAAAATCATCAATTCCGACATAAAATTACACAACAAAAACAATTCAATTTCCTATCACAGCAGGATCTCGAGAAATTTCCATATGTTAAAGCATCTCTAATTCAATCTCATGCCTATTCGACAAAATTCTTCATGGATGAATTTTATTCAATATTTTATGAATTTTCTTGAATACGACTAATTGCATATCCATTGGAAGCCATCAATTCAACTTTACCTCAATTTGTGAGACTCAAAGTTAATTGAAATTGAATTTCGACATTTTCGACAAATTACTGAGTCATTGTAATGATTACTTTATATGAGTTTCTGATGAAAATATTGAATTTCTGTTCGTTAAAGTAAAGAAATTAAATTGAAGTATTAAAGATGAAGGAAATGTTTATGATAAGTTCATTTAACTTAAGAGGTTTTTCAATGTTCGAGAAATGTCGATAATAAGTCTTTGAAAATTCAATGTAGGAGAAATTGTGAATTTATTCAAGACTTTTAAATTTTGAATTAAAATTTCTGATCAAATTGCATTTTTCAACTTAATTCATTTTTTCGATTTTAAACATTTTTTAATTTGTATTTTCAAGTTCTCATAAAGATTTTAAAATTTTCTTTCAACTCACAACAAAACCTTTAACATTCAACATACATCATAAAAATCAATAAAATTAAATTCCATGAAATTGATACACAAACATCATTTCCACATTACAAATTTTCATTGCTAGCAAATTAATTAAAATTTACAATTTATGCTTCGAGATATCAAATTTCTATAAATGTGTTCCTACAATGTATTGTAACAAGATCCGATTTTCATGCATTTTGATTCTGATATTTAATTTATTTTGACAAAACAAAAAAATTATGTCGTAATTCTAACTTATTGCGTAATATCGAATACTAGATATTGTAGATTTTTTTTTTGGTGAAAGATTAAAAGACAATTTGTGGGATTTTACATGTGCAATTTTGGTTTGATGACGGTTGTTTTGTGAGTTTGTGTAGTCTATGCGGTTGATATGTTCGTATTGTTCGAGTAGAATTGCTTTTTTGTTAGGACTAGAGTAAGATTAAATTGGACTAGTGGTTGGTCATCAAAACTACAATTTTGAATGCTTTCTTTAACTGGATGCATTCGAATCCTATCAGATTCTGAATTTTCAATCACTAGAAACAATTTCATAATGTTTCAATATTCATGGACAATTAAACTTGACGGATTTCATTAAAAATAATCAGATGTGACTTAATTTGCTAGAAAATCAAGGTTTAAAAACTTCAATGATAGTTTAATATGTGAAAAATTGGTGAATCTCCCAGAAAATCTCCGGAAAATCTTAAACAATTCATTAATCCCTTCCAAAATCTTCACCAAACCACAACAACTCAATCCATTAACAAGAAATCCTTCAGACTGATCCGCAAACTTTTCATTTAAAATTATCTTCCTTTTCGATCGAAATCCAACCCCAAAATAATTTTAAGCTAAATCAATCAGAAATTTTCAAGTCCGAAAATTTCTTCATCATCTTCAAACAATTTTCACAACTCAAAGGAAATGAAAAATGTTTTAGGCTTTTTTTTCAACTGTAAATTTTAATTTCAACAAATTTTTTCTTCTCTCTTTTTCATTTTCTTTATTGGCTTGCATGGCGGAAAAAATTATCATTTGAGGAAGAAGATGGCAAAAGGAATCGTTCATGGTTGCGAAGCCGCATTAATGAAAAAGAAATGAGAAATGATGAAAGAAGCTGCAGATTTTGATTTTAAAAGTTTTGTGAAAGAGACTTTTTTTGGGGGATTCATAAAGAAAGTGAAGATGGTAAGTTTGAGGTTTTTGTGGTGATGAAGCTTTTTTGTGAGTTTCTTTGAGAAATTATGAGATTTTTGGTGAGTTTGATGAAGAATTTTTGTGGCTTTTTGCTAGTTTTTTTTTCCTTTTTAATTTGTTTGGACTTTTTTTATTTGCTAAATAGAGCATTTAAAGGGACTGTCTTGCAATATTCATACAAAATTCATCAAATCTTGTTTACTAATTCATCAAAAGTTTTATTAAAATTCATTTAAAAATTACATTTTAATTAAAACTTTCGAATATTCCAATTTCTAATAAATTCTTCAAAGATTTCAAGAAGAAATTTTCTCAAACTTATTGAAATAAAGCTGAAAAAACATTTCAAAAATCGTTACCATAAAATCAGAAGCTGCGGTTATGAGTGTAAACACGGTATCTGATGTCAGTGGTTATATAATCTTTAATGTATCAACATCAAGTCATTTCTCGTTATTTTATAGATGGCTTCAGTTTCTTTTCGAATGTGCTTTATTGGGAATTGTTTTTGATAGGTTTTTGGATAAGAAATAATATATATATAATAGAAAGCCAATAATCTTAAGTTTAAAAACTCGAATTTTTAATTTTCTTGTACTTTATTGTTACTTTACTTAAGCAAACGAGTTTGATTTGAAACTTTAATACCAACCAAATAATTAGACTTTTCTAATAAATCAATCAATTTTTATCTCGTAACGATTAGATCTTTGAACGCAAGCATTCATCTTTTTTTGGTATATTTAAAAGAGCATTAGCCGTGGCACTTAACAGAAAATGAATAAAAATATTTTTGAATGCTTATTGACATTTTTTGTTATCATTTTTCATTTCGTGAGTCAAATCTAATTTTTGTGGATATGAATTTAAATTGTTGAGGCTTTTTGTCACACAATTGGTCACATTGTGATTCAAAAAACTTTTAGCTAAGCTTTATGTGAAAATGAACAAGTAGTAAATCCTATTTTTTATGCTAAACTCCTTATTCCACTCATTACAAGGACATAAATCTCAAAACTCAAACAAAACCTTCCAGCTAGCTCATAAAATCCCAATTGTCATTAAATTCCTGACCCATTTATCACTCAGTCCCCAAAGAATTGTGCAATTATCTCCAAGACAGGTTAACACAAAGCCTTCATTCAAAAATCCCTAGATTTAAGCTCACTGACATGTAAAACTTTTATTTCACATTTTATTTATTCCAATGAGAGTAGAAACAAGGATGAATGCCCTACTTTCTTCATATTCTACATTCTTTTTTCGAGCAATGGAAAGTACTTGCACAATTGACCTAATTTCAACAGGTTTTTTTCCCTCTTTTTTTCCATTCTTTTGTGAGTCTATGACGGCATGCGAATGAAAATGAGGCAGTTTTGATGATGATGAAAAATAATGTTTCAAGTCTTGTAACTTACCTCAGTTTACACACAATTGAAATTAACGGAAATTGTAAGTTGGACACAATAAAATATATATAAACAGGTTGTTTTTTTTGCACGTAATCCACAGAAGTAAGGTGTGTTTGATAGGACACAATAAAAATAAAATTTAATTCACTCTTTTTTTTCTTCAATTTAATAACAAATTTTTTTTGAGGCTTTCACTTTCTTTTATTTTTTCAAATTTTTCTTCTGTCTCGAAAATATTTTTAATAATTTCTCATTTATTTTTCACAATTTTATTTTCATTTATTTATTTATTTATTTATTTTTCGCGTTTCTCGTTTGAAAAAATCGCAAGTATCACTGTGAGTGTCTGAAAACCGATTGAAACTGTTCAAACGAATTCCGTGTCTTTTATAGATGTTGACTTCGCTCTTGCGTCTTTCGGTTCTCACCCTTCGCCCACACATGAATGAAATTTTTCGTCTTCATTGACTCACACCCCAGCACGTACTCCCATCCATGTATAACACATTTTTTGCGTCCCATCTACCGACATCTACATTCAACTACATAAACAATGAGAGAAAGAGAAACCGGTCTTTTTTTTGTCGTAATGAAAAATTTACGTCAATCGAAAAGAAAGCTACACGAAGCTTTCGCACGACTACATACAACAGAAAGTTTATGATTGGAGAGCGAAGCTTGCGTTTCGTATTATTGATCTGAAATTCGTATAATCTGCAAATGTGTGAGTTTCATAGACGAACGGACTGTGACGTCAGTCGGGAAAATTGCTGCTGATGTTATTACCGCTATTCAATTGACGTTATGCTGGGAAAATATATATGATAAAGAATATCTTCTCTCGCTCACGCTTCATAGCCAAAAAAAGCTTATTTTGCCTTTTTTTTATTTTATTAATGAAAATCGGAAAGAGATGGAAAATTACGGGGGAAATTTTGGTTATGTTAGGAAGAGCTACATAAAAAAAAAAATTCTTGAATAAAAAAAAAGAACGAGGAAATATTTTTAAAATGTTGATTGAATTTCATTCAGAATTTTTTGTTTTGATGACTTTCTCGTTCATACATAAAAGCTCCTTTGTTCTGCATTCATATAGAGTGTGATTCAGTTTGTTGTACATCATTTTAAGTTGGTTACTTTTCTTTGTTGAAAGCTATCGAAGGATTGATAGAAACTTTTAATAAGTTGATATATTTATTTTATTATCTAGGGAAGCAGGATAGCTAGAACTACCTGAAGAGAAGGAGTAGGGGGGGGGGGGCTTTGGTTCTTTAAAGATAAATTGAAGTTGATAAATTAGGTTTAAATAAAAACAAGAGTCAATCTTTCGCTCTATGACAAAGAAAGCATCAGAAACTAATGATCATGGGCGTTGCTAGGAATTTGAAGAGGGAAGGACAAAATTTTTTTGTATGAAAAAATTTAAGGGGGAGGGGGGGGGGGGGGTATTTTTGTGATTTTTCCATGAAAACCCTAGCAAAATAAAGAAATTTATGTTTACGTTAGGGGATTTGTTCCCCAAAGCCCCCCCCCCTGGCTACGCGCCTGCTAATGGTGTCTTTAAAAAAACTGCTAGAACCCAGCCCGAACTCCCTCCCTTCCTGGAAAATGGAGAGTGTGTTCTACAATTCAAAACATCTTATTTTTATTGAAAGTTTCACAAAATCTTAGTCCCCCCTCCCACACACATACTTCATACTTCCATGCATTCATCATTAAATCTCCAGTTCTTCCCTCTTCAAAAAGACGTCATCATAGTTTCAACTTCGCAGATCAACAAGCTCTATTCAAATCACTTTAGTACACGAGATCATTAAACCTAAAAAATAAACTAGTCATTAAAATTGTATAAACTAATTTCCACCTACAAGACAAACTTTCCTTCATGCGTTTTGCCAAATACTTTTAACAACCTCTTGCTGTATCTCTATGAACTTTTCCAAGTATTGTTCTGATCAGGAAAACAGAGGAAAACGAAAAGTTTCAACAAAACAAAACAAAAACTTTGAATTTGTGACTCGTGGCAAGTTGTTCATATATTTTTCATCGTAAAATTGTTAAAAATATCTCGGCTGAGTTGTTTGTATTGTGGTAAGGCTGACGGGAAATAATTAGGTAAAATAATTATATTAATTAAAATTTAATTGAAGAAATTTGCGTATTTTTCAAAGCATGCAATAAGATTTTGTTTTATAGCAACGACAATTTGTGGTAGTTTGAAGTTTAAATTTTTTTATATAAATTTCCAAATGCATCTGGAAGCTACAATATCTTCAATATTGTAATGTCAATAAAGTTCCTTATTCGAGAAACTTTAAGGTACAATTTATTATTCTAGAAATTCCCAAGAATTTTCCTTTGAGATTCCATTTATGTCCTGCAATTGAATATTCATTTTAAATCTCTTTATTTCCACAAACAATTTACCAATAAAATTTATTTTTGGATTCGATCGATATCATGTCAATACAGTTTTCCATATGGTTCATGCCTTTCCATCGAATGTCTATATTTGGAACAAAAAGTGGTGCTTTTGAATACTCAATGTCACGGCAATTTTATAAACATTTTTTTTGTAAATCACTGACTTGAAATACAACCTGTTGTAAGTGAATATAAATTTTATATCAAGTTTGATTTATTTATGGAATAATTTATGTTCCCCTCGTTGGGGAGGAATTTACTTTTGATAAATTCGATTGATTTTACCATGAACTCTAGTTCCTTCATATTATATCTAATTAAATAGTTAAGTAAAAGGTTAATCAACATATAATGAAGGGAAGTAATGTGGGAACAACAGATCCTTTCCAACTCTCAACTCCAAACAGAAATAGCTTTTCTTATTCTAATAGGATTTACTCCGAAATATTTTGATTGATTCCCAACTTACTGAATCTTTTGAGATTTTTTTTAAGAATTCTTGAATCAAAATTTTCAACCAGCTTATATTTCACAATTATTTTTAAATTAATAAGGCCTCAAAAATTTCTTAATTGAATGAAAAATTCAAGTAGATTTCAAAAGAAAAATTTGGTATTTATGAATGGAATAGCTTAATTAGTTGACCTTTAAACAACCTCCGTGTGTCTTTTTCCCACTTATTTCGTCCAATCATAATGACAACATTGTAGTGATCTCTAAGCTCCTGATAAAATCAATACTGAGACTTATTTTGACTGTACTGACGACATTCTGGGAAGGGAGGGTTTAAAAAACAATTTTATTCTATTCCAATTCCGAGGATGACTTAAGCTTCTAATCTTATACTATTCCATAATAAAAATAAGTTTTAACTTTGTTAAGTCTTCCAACCAAATGCTTTTCTGTGTGTTAAAAACATTTATGTTGAAATAAAAGTTTTTTGTGATCAGTTCAAAACCAACCGAAAACTTTGAAGGCATTGTTACTTCTTGGAATTTCGAAAGAACCTTTTTATTTTATCTAAACCAAAAAGCACACATGTGAGCAAATTCTCATGCCACTAAAGGAATTGCTGAAGACAAAAATATTGGAATTAAGGGAAACATTTTTGAGGATTTCTTGCTGTTCATCAAAGAGCAATAGGAAGTCTTGTGAGTTTCTTAAGCTGTGTGAAAACCAAAAATTAAGTTTTATTGAATAAATGGAAATTTTTCCTTTTTTAAAAGATTATTGGCTTTTTCATAAGTTCATTTCTTTAAGATCGCTTCACTAGTTTCCAACATTAGTAACCTTACTAATCTTTTCTAGATCTATTTGGTTGAGATCTAGTCTTTTATGCTGTCAAAGTACATAAATCTTCTTTATATGAAATCTCAAATTGAGTAATGATGGGATTAGAACCAACAGCTCTAAAGTTTAAACATGAAATCAAACCTTGATCAAAACCAAGCTCCCTGCCGTTTTCGCTACAAAAGCACTTAATACTTACTAATAAAACCTTAAAAAAAAACTTTTTAAAAACTGTAAAACTTCCTCAAAATAAATTCAGCGTCTACACAAAAAAAAAGAAAAGAAAACTTTTTAATAAGCTTAACAAGTTTCATTCAAGGTTCCTTAACAATTCTAATTGCTCGATTTTGATCATTATAAAAATTCTTATTTTCTAAAAATAAATCAAGCAGCACAGCAATGCGAGAAAATTATCAGGCATTCTGGAAAAAAGAGACATTGAAATATCATCAGAATATGAATTTTTCTTCTATTTTCCATTTAATCCTCCGCATTTTTCGTCCTTCGCATAATTTTTTGTCGAGTCTAATCATCGTTCTTCCAAAAGGCTTATCTTATCTTGTTTTCCTCGCTGTTCGTATAGTTTCTGAATAAAATTATAAAAATTAAATTGAATAGAGCTTATTTTTTTGGAAGTGAATTCGTGTGGATTTTGTGATCAGTTTGCCTTGTGAGGCTAATGTTAATTATTTATAAAGTCTTACTAATATTGTAATTATAATTGCCTACCTAGAATGACCTCCCACAGTTTACCAACAACCAAAATTAAATGAACAACTTCGACAACATACATTAAGCAAGTCATTTTTGTACCACAAAGAATCTATTAATACTTCATAACAGCATTACATAACATAAATTACATCCAATAATAACCAATAACCTAATTCATCCAGTTTCACCTTCCACACTCACTTTTGACAGCTTTTGCTACTTATTTCTGTATTTTGCTCTCTTTTGCGTATTTACAACAAGCAAACGCGTCAAGGCAAAACATTTCTCAAGTGTGAGAAAGCAGAACAAGCAAAATTATGGGGGAGATGAAGGCATGAAGAAAAAAAAGCTCCAAAAAGAAATTCTTATTCGGATATGTTGATGAGTTCTATTTTTAGAAACATTTTCTCATCTCAGGCTGAAGAAGAAAATTTGCTGTTAACATTTCGGCTCTTTATGGATCTTATTATTCATTCTTTTTCTACGCAACATATATCTTGAACTACCCACCCCGACAGCATCACGATTTTCGGTTATGGAATGAGAATGAGCGTGGGAAAAAGCGAGAAGTCTAGTATTGGGAACTTGTCAGTTAGAGATGTTGTGAATTTGGAGATGAAATTTGATTTTTGGAGTTTGAATAGCTGGATTTGGGGAGAGACCCATTTTGGATAAACAGCTACAAACTTCAACTCAGTAAGAATTAGATAAAGAAGTACTGATCAGATGTTTTGAGGTTGATTCCATTCTGAAAGTGATATTGTAGCTCTAGTTCTCATGCTATATGGAAAGTTTCAATCCAACGTCGACTAGAGCTTTAATTTTGTCTCTGTCTCATACATAAAGTAGCTGAGGTATCTTAATATTCAAAAAGAGATGAATTTAGAATTAAAAGGATTTGAAGTGACGACCTTCGATTCGGCTCGTTAAATTTGAGTCCTCCCAG